TGAAACCCGTCTCTACTAAAACAGAATTTACAAAAAACTAAGCCGGGCGTGGCTGGGCGGGCCGGCCCTGCTGGAGTCCACTACTCGGAGGCTAGAGGCAGCGTGAGAATGCGTGAACTGGGAGCGCGAGCTTGCAGTGAGCCGAGTGATCGCCCCACTGCACTCCAAGCCGGGTGGATACAGCGCGAGACGCGGTCTCAAAAAAAAAGAAAAAGAAAAAAAAATTTCTGTGGTTTTCTTTGTTGAGTACATAGTCTTGCCTCTCGGTCGCCCAGGCCTAGAGGCGCGCAGTGTGGCCCGGATCTCAGCTCACTGCAGGAAGCTCCGCCGTCCCGGCGCCGGTCGGTTTACGCCATTCTTTCCTGCCTTCAGGCCTCCCGAGTTGAGCTGGACTACAGGGGCCCGCCAACCATGTCGCGCCGGCTAGTTTTTGTGGTTATTTTTTAGTAGAGATGGGTGTCTCACTCTGTGTTAGCCCCAGGATGGTCTCGATCTCCTGACCTCGTGATCCGCCCGTCTCGGCCTCCCAAAGTGCTGGGATTACAGGCTTGAGCCACCGCGCCCGGCAACAATTTTCTTAAAAATGTATGCCTGAGATGACTAGGCAGGTTGTCTTCATACACAAATGATGCCCTATTTTAATACATGGTACCTGTTAATTTCATTACTATGTGATAGCTCTGTCCGTAGTACTTAATCGTATCAAACAATTGAGAAGTTGATAGAGAGAAGCAACTCAAAAAGTGTGCAGTTAAATTTTATTTTTCCATTTTTGGGTATCTAGAACTTATAGTTCTATTTGAGACAATTTCATATATAAATATCTTGCATAATCTGGAAGGGAGTAATTTCTTAATGTTAGTAAATATCAAAATGTTTATCTGAATATGCACATATACATTAAACAAAGATGTTAAATTTTACAAGTTTTATAATACTAACCGTATTTTTGGCTGCCTTTTGACACTTTCATAGTAAAACAAAAAGTTAATTTCATGGACACCTTCTTCATCAGGCCCACGTAACCACATCGGCAGCTGCACTGAGGCTCCAGGTAGAAGAACAGTGTCAGGAAGGGGAACAGGAATCACCTCTGGTTGACTTCCTGTGCCAATGCCAAAGTCTACAGAAGAAGCTGATGATATGAGTGCTGTACACACAGAGGTAGCATCTGTCACAACAGTCTTGTAAGCACTACAATTCTCAGAAGCTGAGGGACTCAGTGGTGTTAGAACAGCAGTATTACCACCGAAAGTAAAGAACTCTGGACGTTTAGAAACAACCTTCAATCCAGTAAGTGGACATTTGCTGACATTGACAAATTCTACATATGCTTTTCGGATTTCTCCACAGAGGAGCCCTGTAGGAAAATGTATAAAGAATACCTGCATTGGAGGGAAAAAATATTATTATTTGTCTGTTAAAAATTTTGAACCTCTAATGATGCTTTTTTTTTTTTTTTAAACTAAAGGTTTACAAGTTATTTCATTAATTCTTTGGTATCTCCCTGAATATGTGGCAGTTAATGACTCCATTTTAGAAAATATGATGAGACAGGAGAATGTTACTCTGCCACTCAGTAGTGATTCTAGACTTAGGAATTAAAGGTATATTATCAGTACACAAGAGGGCTAACATGTCAAAACTTTCACAACTTGGTAGATTATGGACCAGAAAAGTTGAAAGTAATTTAACACGGCTTTATGAAGTAAATATCAGTTTTATAACCCTTGTAACTGTCAACTAAAGAAGCAGCTCAACTACTTATGTCTATATCATTAAGATGAAAAGATATGCCAGATTTACCATGGGTTTTAAAGTGAAAGAATGGGCAGATCTATGATTCCATATCCACAATTTTAAAATCCAAAAAACTCCAACCTCAGGCTTTTAGTAACTCATGTAGGGGCAAAAACTGACCTAATAGAGGCTTTTTATAGTCTTTCCCATTTAGTGTGATATTAATATAGTTCATTCAAGAAATATTAATGTGTTTGATTACTAGGTGCTGCCACAAAGCAATGGGGTTTACATAACTTCACACACACACATCTAAAAAAAATTTTTTTAATTGATTTCCAACACACATGTGGCCTCAAGATTTCAGATGAGGGATTGTGGACTTGTGCTTAAAGAGACGAAAATTTGGGCTAATGAAATCATACAGTAAGTTATCTGTATTTAAAAGATCTTTTAAGTATACTGGCTGGGCACCATGGCTCATGCCTGTAACCCCAACACTTTGGGAGGCCAGAGTCGGTGGAACCGTTGAGCTCAGGAGTTCAAAATCAGTCTGGGCAACATAGTGAAACCCTGTTTCTACCAAAACTACAAAAAATGAGCCGCACGCCTGTGGTTCCAGCTACTGGAGATGCTGTGGTGGGAGGACTGCTTGAGCCCAGGAAGTGGAAGTTGCAGTGAGCCAAGATCGTGCCACTGCCCTCCAGCCTGGGTGACAGAGTGAGACCCCATCTCAAAAAAAAAAAAACTTTAAATGTCACAACTACACTAACAGCAAGCAGGAAGATAAAGGTAACAACATGAGTGAAACATTCTAATAGTTATAGCTGGCAGTCACTTCATGAAATTCCAGTGAAAATATGTTTTGAATCTAAATGTGAGTGGGACTTCATTATGGCCATATTCTTAAAAAGAAAAAAAAAAAATCAGATGAAATTTGGGGACATCAGAAGCTTTAAAAATAAATGAGAAAACAAGGGATTAATGAAGAAATTCCACATACAGATTTAATAGGATAAGAAAATAAGCTAGACATAGCATTATACTGAAGACACTGACTCCCTGTACTGATTAGTCAGTGTCAAATAAGCTTATAGTCAAGCTAAAACTTATGGAGGAATTATCACTTTTGAGTTATTACATCCAACGCAGCTGCATTAATAAAAAGTGAAATAGAGTATTTAGTGTGTAAAAACACACTAAAATACATACAGACACCTAGATACCATCAAGAAGGTTACAGCATTGGTAAAATGGTAACAATGACAGAACACATAAAAGACCAGTGGTACCAACTATGTATAAGATCACATGTTCCTTCAGAACACAGGTTTACTAAATATATTATTTTGACTCTTTAAGAAGAACAAGGCCAGGCGCAGGGGCTCACACTTGTAATCCCAGCACTTTGGGAGGTAGGCAGATCACAAGGTCAGGAGTTTGAGACCAGCCTGACCAACATGGTGAAGCCCCATCTCTACTAAAAATACAAAAATTAGCCAGGCATGGTGGTGCGCGCCTATAATTCCAGCTACTCAGGAGACTGAGGCAAGAGAATCGCTTGAACCTGGGAGGCAGAGGTTGCAGTGAGCCAAGATTGTGCCACTGCACTCCAGCCTGGGTGACAGAGCAAGACTCCGTCTCAGAAAAAAAAAAAAAAAAAAAAGAACAAGAACATTTAGCCTTTACTTCAAATGCTCAGTTGCTGAAAATCCTTTTAAATAGTTGATATTTGTGATAGTTTCAAATATAAATGGAAAACAAGACCAAGAACTCACTATTTCACTTCTAATTTATCCTAAAGATATATGTGTGTGAGTACAAAATGACATGCTTAGGATTGTTCATTGTGGCTTTATCTGTAACAGAAAATGACTAGATATAAATCAAATGGTCTAGCTGAATGATACATATATATATATAACAGTACTTATGCAGTGAGAAATTAAAGGAGTTTGCGCTTTGCTTCTCTACATGTTAAAATTATTCCTAACAGAAACAACTGTATTTAAAAAAAAAAAAAAAAGATTTAGGGGGAAAGATTTCTAATCCACATGGCTCATTGTTTGAGTTCAGTATGCTATACACATAGTAGTATGCAAATGACTCTTATTTTTATCTTCTCTCAATGAGCTACAGTAACTTTCATTCTCACCCGTTTGATAAATATATATTGTTACAGATTATTTCATCAGACAGTATAGATGGGTAACTACTTCTACTATTCGCAAACATCTCAAATACCATAAAATATTTCTGACATATTAGGCACAGGAATATTCTACAAATTTTTTCACCAGTTTTGATGTCTTCCATTGTCCAAATATAATAAATGGCCTATTAGCTGACTTCCATCATAATCATACTACCTTGTTGAATTAACCAACTTCTCTATTCTCTCACTAGAAAATACTGAGTGATGTTTATGGAACTGAACATCAGTGGCTTTAGGCTTTCTATAGTGCCCATCATATTCTCCTTTCAAGAGTCACTATCTATTCCCAAACTTGTTTACATAAATTAAGTATTGTGTAAACTGCTTTCATCTGTAGCTGAAAGTATAGCTTTTATCTGTAGATAAAAATCTAGACATACACAGTATTTAGATTATTTGGCAAATTGTCCAGATTCTGACTCTGAAGAAACCAAAACTGGAAACTTAAGGTGCAACTTATGGATGTAGTTTAATGCATGAAACAAGATGAAACTCCTATCAGGAAACCCATACCAACACTCATAGAAAAGGTCTCTGCTCTAAATTCATCCCCCCAGAAATGGTGAATAAATGTACATCAGTATGTTTTAAATTAAGGTAAAATGTTTAGGGTATGGATCTACCAATTTTTTTGTTCTTCACTTTACAAGCTTCGTTTCATCAACCAAACACCATTTTTGTTATTATGTAGAATAAGAGGCCCTCTGCTCTAAAACACCCTCTTCAAGAACTGCCTCTATAACAAAATTTTTCTAAAATTGTGATATGCGAGAAGCAAAGTTAAATACAGACCTAGCAATATCAAAAACCAGATGAATGTAAATATAAAGACTGTTAAGTTTAACAGAGTTAAAAATCCAAGATATCATCTGGTTTAAGTTTCCTTCCTTTCTAACTGAAAAAACTTTCATTTAGAAAATGAAGGCCAGATAATTAGGGAAGAGGCTTAAACAATGTAAAAGTAAACCTCTATTCATAGGAATATGTTATTTGAGAAGCACTGCAATTAAAAACCATCTGTACATTTAACAATCTTAATAACTGAAGGATACTTAAATGATATGGCTTATTGAAAATCGTAGGTGCTGGGCATGGTTGCTCATGCCTATAACTGCAGCACTTTGGGAAGCAGAGGTGGGTGGATCGCTTGAGCTTAGGAGTTTGAGACCAGCCTGAGCAACACAGTGAAACCCGTCCCTACAAAAAACACAAAAAAATTAGCCAGGTGTGGTGGCATCCACCTGTAGTCCCAGCTATTCAGGAAGATCACTTGAGCCCAGCAAGCCAAGGCTGCAGTGATCAGAGATCATGCCACTGCACTGAGAAAAAAAAATTAAGCTGGCTGTGGCGGGAGCCTGTAGTCCCCAGCGGACATCGAGCAGCCGAGAGTCCTTAGCGTGCTTGATAGCGTGACACCAGGCGCTGTGAGCGAGAGGAGATGCTGGCAAGTATACGGCTGAGCGAGTATCTCTCAGTTCCACTGCCAAGTTCGGGAGGCCTCCCAGGCACCGCGGCTTCCAACGCATTCTCTTCCTGCCTCCTGCTAACTTCCGGGCAGCGGGCACGCCTCCGGCGTGAGAGGCTATACCAGGAGGACCTCATCTACAGGCTCCCGCCACCTGACGCAGCTCCAGCTAATTTTTTTTTTGTTATTTTAGTGAGTAGAGCGGCAGTACGCTCGTGGGAGCGTTTCAACCGGTGTTAGCCAGGAGATGTGTCTTGGAGTTCCTCCCGACACCTCGTGATCCACTCGCACCTCAGCCTCCCAAAGTGCTCAGATTTACAGGCACATGCTTTGGCCACCACGCCCGGCGCTGTTCATCGATTTATTAAACAATAATGGTGAATTAGCCCCTAAAAGTAACATTTGGATCTTAAACTCACTTCAATTCAATCATCAGTTTTTTAAACTCCTAGGCTTTACCAATGCCAATTCTAATCAAAATTATTGTGGAAACTGGAAAAAGCTTGGACAAAAGTGGCACAAAGTATAAGAAAAATGAAAAAAATTACAAGAATTATAAAAGGGGACTGTGGCTTGCCAGATTTAAAAAAAAGATAAAGCAACAGTATAGTACTGACACAGAAAGAAATAAGGAAAATATTTATCACACAGAGTAGGACTTCGCATCCAAAAGAGAACCTGTGATGGATACTTTCAGAATATAATAGAAAGGGATGGCACAATGAGTGTCCAACATTCATATTAATTGTGGGTTACTGGAACTAAAAAACAAAGTTCGAGCCTTATCTCTTGACAACCAAGAAACTGGCACTTGGGTCAAGTCTATAAGTGGTTTTTTTTTTTTATTGCCCTACAAAATCTGTTACATGCAATTCATAATTAAGCAAGGGTTTAAATCGTGGA